AACCTCAACCGAGGCCGGCGACACCACAATGGGATCCCACTGCGCCCACAATCGCGCCTCAAGGTCGAGGAGTTCAGATTGCTTCTTCTCCTTCCTATCTAAGCGCGCCTTTTGCTTGGTATACTCCTGCTCATACGATAATCCGCGAGTTGAGTAAGATGTAATCCGCCAACCACACCGCGACACTCACGATAATCGCCATTGGTCCTTTGCGCATCCTTAATCCCTAAGTATTGGGTCACAAATTGTTCACGGTGAACCTTCATCTCTTCGGGGACTGCTCTCTTTCCCTTTCTGCGAGCACGACGGACTTGTTTGTCAGAAAACTCCATAGCACGGCGAGAGTTGGCCTCGTGCTCCTCCCTCATGCGGAAAACCTCCCGTTCGGCCCACCATTGAGTGCGAAAGAGTTAGTATCAATATCCTCTTTGAGACGAGCAGCTTCTTTTTCCGCCGCCTCAGCTCTAGACTCGGCCTTATGAATCTCCGCGTTACTCCCATTCACAGCCTCGTTCATAAAACGAAGACCCTACAGATAGAAGAAACATTTCTATTATAATCTGATCACACGCAGAGTAATCACAGGAATCGATAATGGGTAACAAACCTTGTTAACGAGCCTCAATTCTTTTGCAAACGGTGTCTCGGCTGGGCTGACATCAGACGAAGGAACCGAGAAATTGATGTATTACAGGATATCGATTTATGCATCGTCGCTGGTTTGACCCTCTTGAAAGCCATCGAACCACTGTCTCATGTCGACCGGAGCACCTTTATCCTGCAGAGATCTTGACCTCTCCCCCATTCCCGGAACATTGCCCATCCCTGGCTCCCATTCAACTTCAATGGGCTCGCTCTGCTGAAAACGAGAAAGGTGGAACGCGACGGCGCAACGAACTCTCTTCGGAGAAAAGTGTCTCTAGTAAAACAGACTACCAAGGAGAAGGCTCTTGACCTGTTCAAGATCTTCGGGTTCCAGAGTAAGAAGACCAGACGCTGCAAAACATAAACTAAACACGAAGTTAGAATTCGGAAAAAGTGTACCCCAAAAAAAAAGTGCAATCTAAATACTTTTTCCCCATTCACTCCTGAACATGGGGATGCAGCTCTTCTATACCAGGCATTATCAATTCGAACGTAGAAAAATAACTCCTCCCAATTGTGACCATTCGAGGAAAATTTCTCGATGATCGACATCTTCACCCGCTGAGATATTTAATAATAATCATCGCTCGCACGCTTGAACGACAACATAGCTTCGAGATAATCTGCACTAACAGCCATACCACACACGTAGCCCAACACCCAAATCCCGACAAGATGTTGTAATCCGGAGACACAAAGTTGGCTGATCGACAACCCGAGCCGATCCAAGAGTTCAACTCTGACCCGTGGGATGAGAAACCACAGTTGGCAACTGAGGAAAAAGGCCTCGTAGCACGTAAAGTAACTCGGAGGCGGATGCTTGGCATCTTGACCACATTCGGGAAGGCAAAACTGCACCAAATCTGGTATCATACGAGAGCTCCGCATAACTTTGAGAGACGAACGGTACTCTTGCTCAGACCTTTTTGTCTCTTCATCGTTCTAGACCTCAAAGGAACCCAGGCGTTAGCCTTGGGGACCTCGGCAGCACGCATGGCTTCCAAATATCTCTTGATCTCCTCGTTACCCAAGGTAAATCTTAAGAATACCGGTGCAGGAAGTACGTTACCACCGGAACAATCAAGATCGCTCAAATCGAAATTTGACGGATGGGCACATTCTGAAATTCTTCATTTAGTAGACATGCTTAACAAACAAGTATTGAAAGATTCAAAGAGAGAAAGAAAGAGAGAGAAATTTTCTCTACCTTAGGGAAAATTATGTGGAAAGAGGTAAGTAAATAATTTGAAAACTTACTCCACATATTTATAAGCAAGATTCTACTATTCACCTTTGGGATTTTGGTCGTTAAAGTTCCGCCTAATTCTACCAAGCTTGCCAAACAAGTTCAAAGCGCTCGCAAGAACTCTACGATTCTTACAGGCTGGGGGGCTAACTGTTGGGGTCAAAATAGGTCACGACATAATAACCGACCAAAACTTTCTGCAAAGTTAAGAATAGGTTTTAGAAATACGAAAAAGCGTCGAGAAGAAATCTAAGGACTTTCCGAACAAAGGAATTCCGTAAACTTAACAATCGTTATCTTCGAAATCATATAAAACAGTCTGCGATTGTCCAAATTGGCAAAATTAGCAAAACACAGCCATAACGTCCAAACTTCCTGAAACGGTAAAGCTGTTATAAAGGTCAAAAACGGTAACCTCGAAATAAACGTCAACTATTATTTCTCCTTATTTTCTCCGAGAGGATCATGGGTCGAGAAAACAAGAAACGATCGAAACCGAAAAACCGACCAGCTCGCCAACAGGCGAGTTGGCCGTGCTTGACCAGCTAGCCTGCTGGGGAGCTGAACTAACCAGTCCAGCTCGCCAACAGGCAAGCTGGCCATGCCCGACCAGCTTGCCTGTTGGCGAGCTGATCCAACCAGTCTAGCTCGCCTGTTGGCGAGCTGAACCAACCAGTCCAGCTCGCCTGTTGGCGATCTGAACCAACCCGTCCAGCACGCCTGTTGGAGAGCTGAACCAACCAGTCCAGCTTGCCAACAGGCAAGATGGCTGCACTTGACTGGCTTGCTTGTTGGCGAGCTGAACCAAACCATGCTTGCCCCTCGACTCGATCGTACTCTGAACCGTGATTGGAACATCTCTTGTTTCGTCTCGATCTGTCTTTTGGTTAGAGTTTTACGTTAAAAAGCGTAAAAGGCTTGTTTTCTCGTAAAACGTCAGATATCGTGTAAAATGGCAACGATTAAATAATACACCGAACATTGCCAAACTATACGATTAACTCGAGATATTTTATCTAAAACCGCTAAAAACATGTTTTCTCGTAAAACCTTGAGTAAATCGTATAAAATGGGAACGGTTAAAAAAACACCGAACATTGCCAAACTTTACGATTAACTCAAGATTTTTGATAAAAACGACATCGTATCAGGAAACGATCTCATCTAAAGTCGTAAAACGGCTAATCGCAAAACGGCTCGGAAAGTTCTAAAACGCGATAAAAGCCCACTCATGACTTTAGAAAGATCCAGCCTAAAGATATGATGACGGCTTACTCATTATTCGCAGGAGTGGGAAAATGTCAAGTTTGAAGATAAAATAGAAGTTTTCGAAGAAAAATGGAATGATCAAGATAAATGGAAGATTTCCGATAAGTGCAAATCGAGGCAGAAAAGGAAAGACCAACCCGCCTTGAGAAGGAGTATATAAGCAGAATGTCGAGGACAAGAACAAAGGGGATTTTCAGAGCTCTCATCTCACAAAAAAACTTAGCACTTAGAGCGTTTAGGCAATTTTCCGTTTTTGTTAACGAGTTGTGTCTCAACAAGGGTTTTAGTCTTAGGTTGCTAGAACTATGAAACTCGCCGTCGGCTCTTGTGGCCAGGGATTTTACCTCGTTGTACTGTTGTTACGCAAAATCGGAATAAGAAACCTCTTTGCTCTCTTTTCGATTCTCATATTATTTTACTATATTTCTCGTATTTTGATTGCTTGTGTGTGGTTAAGTAGATATCCGGGACCTCTGGGAAATTAGGGTTTTCCTTAAGTTTTTTTTATTTACGGAAATCGACGGTGTGAATTTCGATTACCACAATATCTATATCTATATGAAAAACAAATAATATTATAACTTTGTAAAAATTAAAACCCACGCGAACGCGCAGATCAAAATCTAGTTATTAATTATATCTGATATATTAATATTTATACATAAAGTAAGTTTAACAATATTCTACTTTTATGTTAATAATATGATATGTCATATATATATATATATATATGTATTCATAAATTATGCTTAAATATTTAGTTTGCATTATTATTTTAATTTTTTAATTATTGTTATGGATCCGAATCCGAATTCGAATAACCGCGGATATTACAATATATAGACGGATATCCGAAAGACACGAATCCAAATCCGGATACTAGAATCACGGATCTGACGAATCCCGATCCGAATACTTCAAATTTCCTGGATATCCCTCAAATTTCCCAGATATTCCGGATCCGTCCCACCTCTACTGGTAAGATTAGGGCTGGGCAATCGGGGTCCCAATCGGGTTTCGGTTCGGGTTCATTCGGGTTTCGGTTTTTCGGGTTCATGAATTTCAGCCCCATTCGGATATTATAAAAATTCGGGTCGGATTCGGTTCGGGTTTAGTCGGGTTCGGTTCGGGTTTAGTAACATGTCCAAGATCCGGTTGAACCCGAAATAATTTCGGTTTCGGANAAACCAAAACCTTGTATGAACGAAATATTATACATAATGAAACATAAAAAATTAAAGTTAACAACTAACAATTCTATAAACGTAAGAAGTACTATTTACACTTTAAAAAAAACAACATTATATAAACTTCAAAACAAATTTATTCGTAACTTAACTTCAAATGTAATGTCAATCATAAACATTAATAATAACCAAATAACACTATACATTAGACTAAATATTTGAGTTAATTATTTATATCATAACTAGTTATTGTAGATACTCAATAATATATTAATCTGTTTTGGAAAACATATTAGAAATTTACATTGGATATGATACAAGTTTTTTATGAGTTTTAAAGTTTCGGGTTCTTTCGGATATCCATTTAAGTTCGGGTTCGGTTCGGGTAATACCCATAACCCGAAATACCGTAAAACAAGATCCATTCGGTACTTATGTCGGGTTCGGATCGGTTTGGGTTTCTTTTTATCGGGCCGGATTCGGTTCGGATTTTCGGGTTCGATTTTTTTGCCCAGCCCTAGGTAAGATCTTTTTGGGGCTATTTATCTTATTTGCGCGCGAAAATCAAATTATTTTCCCCAAAATTTAGGGCTTCTTCGACGTTTAATAGTTGTCGGAAATTCATCATCATCAATGGAGGCTTTAGGGCATCTTTCGAAGAAAAGAAGAATGGAGAACGAAGAGTTATGTTCGGGTGATGAATCAGAGATTCTATCCTCTTCGCCGGTAGTCGTATTAGCTCACGGTGCCGGAGCTCCCTCTTCTTCCCACTGGATGATTCGGTACGCTTTGTTGACACAGATTGGTCTTCTGAATTTTATAATTAACACTTTTATTCGGTTTAGATGGAAGGATATGCTAAAGAAGAGCTTAGCAGCAGTTGAAGTTGTCACATTTGATTACCCTTGTGAGTAAATTTTTGGAGTGGTTTATCATACTTGTAAATCTTGTATTCTCTGTATAAATTGTTTGTAAATTGCTGGGTAGATATTGCTGGAGGGAAAAGAAGAGTTGCTCCAAAAGCTGAAAAACTGGTTCAGTTTCATTTGGATATTGTCAAAGAAACTCTTGTTAAGTTCCCTGGTCATCCTTTGATATTAGCTGGCAAATCAATGGGTTCAAGGTACACCTCTTTGTTTCTCTCTCTTGTACGTTGTTCTGTTACACACCTTTTTATGTTGAATGTGATCTTATGCTTCTGCAGAGTTAGCTGCATGGTAGCCGTGAGTGAAGATATCGCAGTCTCAGCTGTAATATGCTTGGGATATCCACTTAAGGTTATGTTTCTACGTACATTTTCGTTTTCACAGTGATATCTGATTGAATTAGTGGAAGGATCTTTACATCCTTGTGTTAATCTTCAGGGCATGAAAGGTGCAATAAGAGATGAGACCTTGTTGGAAATTGGAGTCCCTGTGATGTTTGTGCAGGTATCTTATTTGCATAATAAGTTAACAAAATATAACTACTCTGTAAGTATTGTACATGATTTTCATGGAAATAATTATTAAATGGATTCTTGGGTTGTCAATCAATGTTTTTTTTTCCTTTGTATCAAAAGGGTAGCAAAGATCCTATGTGTCCGCTGGATAAGCTCCAAGCTGTTTGCAACAAAATGAAAGCTGTGACTGAGCTGCACGTCATAGATGGTGGAGATCACTCATTCAAGATTGGAAAGAAGCACCTTGAAGCAAAGGATTTAACACAAGATCAAGTTGAAGATGTCGCTCTGCAAGCAATTGCCGCTTTCGTCTCCAGATCTCTTGCTTGCTGAAAGGTCATAATAGTAACCGCTTTACAGGTTTTGTAGACCAGGATGGATCAATGTGTCCATGTATGTGAAAAAGGGACAATGCAGAGTTCTGTCTCAATGAATCAGTGAATGTTGCGTATTTGGTCAAGATGTAGTATCCACTTACCTTTGTCCCTTATTCTTTTTAACAGAACCGATACCTGCAGGCGTTTCTGTTGTGCAATGTTTACTATTTACTTGGTGGAAGTAAAATAATTAACTTCTGAAGTGTCGTCATACCTTTGATAGACTGACTTCATTTGGCTGGTTGTATCATGACTCTTTTCCTCACCGTTATCAAAGCCGTACAGGTAATGTTTACTCACAGAAAATCCACATATTTGCTTGAAACTAACCCTATTGAGATACTTGATTCAGTAATTACGTGGTTCAGGATCCTTTGCCTTGAGCGCCCTGGACGAAGGTATAATGCCTTTTAGTCATAAAGACGAGGTGTTACAAGTATGTTCGCAGATTACTCTGTATCAGGTCAAACGTCCAAGTGTATCTCCTGCCACCAGATTGCTTTTTTTTTTTTTGTAATTTGCTTTCCTGCAAGCAGATTGTTACAGAACCCATTTCGTTTTATCTAGTCAAAACTACCCATGATGGTGATTAGTGATTACGAAGCACCGACAATAAACAGAACTATCTGCCAAAGTTGATGTCTGATCTGAAATTAAACTAAACAAGAGCAGTTAAACACGAATATCTGAAATATAAAAAGTTCTCAAATATAAATATGATTTATAATCTATAATCGATAATTTATATGCTTTTCGATTACTATGGATTTTATGGTCACTAAGTATCATAGTGCTCCAAAAATCAATTTGTGTCAAAATTATAAATAATTCAATGGTGTTTTACAATAAGCAACACATGTTTTGGTGCATATAAATGGGGAAACACATGTATATATATATATATTTTAAACGAACACACATGTATATTGCGTACATTGATAACCTAAGAACATATGTTGTCTGGCCAAATGGGTTATTTTTTTACCAAAAGAAAAGAGTTCTTGTGTGAAATAAATTCAAGATCTTAAATTTTGAAACGCTCAAGAAACATGTCTATATATCCCTTATATATTAATTGAGAAACATTTGAAAAGATGTAACCTCAAGTTTGTAATAATTAAAAAGTAATCTTGCTTAGTTGTCAATCAATTAACATACCAATTAAACTGACGTGGCAGCTTTAGGTTCAATTGAAATTTGCTAGGGAAACAATAATTAGAGACGCATGTAACGCATATAACATAGTTTACATTAATATATATATCCCACGCATGTAACCGGGTCATAACATTTGCGGACACATTAATACATGCCATGGAAGAAAAGGAAAATATACGAAATCATAATTATAGTAGGTAATTGATAACGATTTGCATATATTAACTTGTATAATAATAACTTCTTTCCTTTTAATTTACGGAAGTGTATATGTAAAATGGAAAATACTTTGTGACCAAGTTCAAACTTAATGGTAAAGGCAAGTGTATATGTAAAATGTAAAACTTAATATGTTAACTTGTGAATTTATGTAAAAATTAATATATGCAAATCGTAAATATTAATAGTAATTATGGAAGCCCCCTTACCTATTAATACTATCACGTACTATTTCATTTAACCTCATTAAATTTTTCACATTGAAATTTTTTGTTATCAATGATTTAAATATCTTAGTTCTTTTTTTAATTTTATATTTTTAAAATATATTAACAATCGATAATATGGTTATTTTTGGTATATACCATACAAACCGAATGGATGTGATTTTATAAAAACCATAGGATTTGGATATGGTTTGATTTATAATCGATTAAACTGAAACATGTAAATATGAATATATTTATAACGACACATGAATATCTATTTGTTACATGAGTTGAACTATAATTATAATTTGTAAATAGCTAACAATTTATTACAACTAAGACTTCTTATTTTGATCTTTTGCTTTTTTAACAGTAACTAAATTGAAGTAAAGATTATAAATTTGATGCACAACAATTAGTTGAAATTCTTTAAAACTTTTTTTTATCTTTAAACAAACAAAGTTGTGTTCAATCGAAGACATATTGGTTTGATGAACACTAAATATGGAAGAATATAAAAACTTTTATTTCATGCTTCTGTTTTGTTTTTTTATTTTTATTTTCAAAATTTAGTGTTTTGATATTAATTATAGATTTGATCATTTTATTAGATGATAGAAGCCTTTTTTGTTTTTTATTCTTTTATTTAAATATATAATATTTTTTAATAAATGATTATGTGACAATATGACTCTAAATATGATCATATTATATATTTGTATAATATATAATATGATCTCAAACTAAATAATTATGTTTTTTGGTATAAAATTGAATAAACTGAAAACCGATGGTATATAAACCAAATCAAACTGAAGTACATATAGATTTAGAATAGTAGTTATATTTTAATGATCGAAATACCAAAAAATCGANGACTCTAAATATGATCATATTATATATTTGTATAATATATAATATGATCTCAAACTAAATAATTATGTTTTTTGGTATAAAATTGAATAAACTGAAAACCGATGGTATATAAACCAAATCAAACTGAAGTACATATAGATTTAGAATAGTAGTTATATTTTAATGATCGAAATACCAAAAAATCGAGCCGAACCGAAACTCCATATCCGGATTGAACACCTCTAATCCGAATGAAACCGAACTATTGTTTCATTTTTAAAAACATAATAAAAATAATAGCTTCATACCGCGCAAGGCGCGGGTCTTATCCTAGTTAGCTAATACTAATGAACAATAATATAAATTATATCATTGGACTTACCATATCCGTAGCTCGTAGATTTTAAACAAAAACGTATAATTTATTTATATATATATTGAGCCGTACACAAATAAATCACGCTCATGGAGGTGACAGTTACGTTATTGAAGACGTTGCATTCAAACCGGGATGTGTGTCTGTATCTACCTTTCATTTATTTTTATTTTTACTTTTGGAAATTTATATACATTTCATTTATTAAGAACCACTTAAACTAAACTAACTTTATCTTTGAAAGTAGGTCTAAGCATTCGGGATGGAATATTCCAGATGTTTTTGTTTTCACTCACAAATCTCATTCTAATATTTTTCTAGTATGAGTCAAGTTCAGATAATAACATTTTCTAATACAGTTTAAATTTACATTGCATTCTAAAATCCATAAAATAACTTTTGTTACAAAAAATATAACATTCAATTTCAAGTTCTATCAGTTTGGTTCAAATATCTCTGATTTAAATGACAAAATTTGAAAGAAAAATATAAAGAAAAACATTTAAATTAAATAGAAATTAATATAATATACAACCAAATAATAAAATAGCAATAAAATGCTAAATCAAACATGAAAGCAATCATAGTTTCTAAACAATATACAGTACTTTATATATATAATAGACTTGTTGTTTCAAAGAATAAAATATGAAATAATTATTTATAATTGATTGAGTACTTAAATAATTATTTAAACTTTAATTTGAATTTTATATATCATATCAACATAAAGATTGAGTTTAAAATACTTACATATATATATATATCAATATTTTAATTGACTACTAATTTTGGATATTTCAAGTTATCCGTTTGAATTTGGTTAATAATACTTCGGATTTAGATATTTTTTGTATCACCTAAGAAGACCCGTTCAGATATTTTATGTCCAGCCCCACTTGAAAACCTACTGCGTGTCATGCACACTCTGATACTCATCAGTAATTTTGTAATCACAATTCGTATATTTTGAACTCTCAAGTTTACATGTCATACTTATATGGTTATATAGTTAGTTTAAAAAGTTTACAAGTCTTTTTTTTTTCTGAAACGTTTTTTTTTTCTTTTTGAAACACTAGTTTAATGTCATACCTAGAAATTTATAACAAAATGATAGTTAATGTTGGCATGATGGATAATACGCGCATACATAATGTGAACCCACACCTACTTGTTCGTCCTCATCCCCAACATGAAAACGACTCTTTAAATGTTCATTCTTAACATATATTACTAATATATGAGTGAATTTTTTCACATGATTTTTGTCAATAACATCTATCAGCTTTGAGTATTGATTGTACGTATATTCAACGATTACAAAAAGTCACACTCTATAGAGATGATATTCTTGTACAGTTGTACGCGGTATTATACTATAATGGATCATGCACTTACCTTCTCCTATTATGAAGAAGATTGTGTTTTATTATAATCATACTATTGTACACAATAGGAGACATCTCTCTTATTAAAACACAATCTTTTTCATAGACCAACGTTTTTGTAAGTTTATTTGTAAATTAAATACACTTTTCTTCTATATAGTTAAATCCAACCAAATTAATTAATGTTCATTCTTATATATTACTACTAAAAGTGTTTCCAAACGACACAATATAATCTTGTAGGCAAACAATATAAAATATTAGGTTTCTATTTTTAATATTTTTTTCATTTACTTCATTTTCAGTGATTTGGTTAAAACACTCAATTCATTTATGAAATAAATTTAAAATAAGTATAATTATGACATCTTTCTTATTAAAGCATAATCTTTTCCATGGATCCAACTTTTTTGTAAGTTTTTAAATTAAATATATTTTCTATAATATAGTTAAACCCACTAAAATTAATTAATACTCATTCTCTTATACTACTAATATATATGTTTCCAAACAACACAATAATTAATCTTGTAGATAAAAATATAAAATATGGGCGGTTGAAAAAAAAAACTAAGTAGTATAAAATATTAGGTCACACATTTTTAATAAACTTTTTATTTATCTCATTTCCAATGATTTGGCTAAAACACTTAATTCATTTATGAAATAAATTCAAAATAAGTATAACTATTATATTCCTCTTATTAAACATAATATTTCTCATGGACCCAACCTTTTTTGTAAGTTTTAA